CTTGCCCGGCGAGCAGGGCCGGGGCCCCGGTGGCTCCCACTCCTGGACAGCCAGGGGGTCTCAGTGGCCTCCGAGCCCGGATGACCCCGAGCCCTCGGTAGCCTCCAAGGCCAGCGTTCGCCCTGGAGCCCGGCCGCAGCGGGATGCCAGGCTGACCCAGCACGTCGCATCTGCCCCAGCCTGGGGTCTCCCAGCGAACACCCACGCAGGGGCAGCACTAAGAGGGTGACCGAGCATCCTGCCCATCTCTCGAGGCCCTCATCCCTCTTCGCTGCCACGTGGAGATGGTGAACTCACCAACAGCTTGGACAAGCTCTGTCTTCCTGGCAGCTTTCGTCCTATTCTTCCCAGCAACTTCATCATCTGTGTAATGTTTGTAGCGACAGGCTCTTAGACCCCCTTCTTTCTTCTCTCTTCCTGCGTCAAATCCGCCCCCCACCACTGCATCATCGCTCATTGTGGATGACAAAACCCTCATGAATGGAGTGACTTCTCTGGCAATGACATTTCCTGTGAAATGTGCACCCCGGAGTGAATTTGGGAGACTAAAAGACTTTGCCCTTTGCTTTTGTCAGGTTTCCTCCCACTGTGGATTGGGAGCTGGCACTCCGCTGCTGGCAGACGCTTCCCCTGTGAGGAGTAGCCTGCGAGAGCAGAGGGGGGTTGCTATGGGGGGCTGCAATGCTGGGCCCTTCCGGAGGGATCCCAGAGCTGGGATTGTTGTACCAAGTGCCGAACTCTCCTTCTGGTGGCCTTGTGGTTGGCCCAGTCACGCAATCTGCAAACAGTGAGATAAGGGGGAGCGGAGGACAGGCTCTTCTGCTGCCTGTCTGCTCTCCTGCTGCTTCAGGGTGACCAAAAAGCATATGGAGGTGCTCCTGGAGCTGCTGGAGCATCAGAGGGGCTCTGTCCTGACACCTCCAAGGCAGATGGCTTCCCATCTCCACTGTCTCGGTGGGTTGGAAGGAGGGCACTGGGTGTCCCAGCACACAGCAGCTCTGACCTCCACGGGATGCGCTACTTGCAGTTCGTACATTGGAGCGATGCGGCCCCAGCCCCAGGGTGCAGAAACCTGGGGGGCTGCCTGGCTGCAGGCAGGGGCTTTCCTGCAGCAGCAGGGGGCAGATCCCAGCGCTGCCCCACAGTGCTAGAGACAGAGGAGAGGGTGGGAATGGGCCCCACTCCCCTGCCCAGTCTGTGCCCCCCGCCCACCCTCTCCAGGCTGGGCTCCCCCCGCAGGCACAGTCCTGCTCCATTGGGGTGGTAGGAGCCCCCAAATCCTTGCCCTCCCATTTCCCCAGAGAGATGTGGCCTCTTTGCAGTGGTGCTCAGCACCAGGACAAGGGGCAATGGGCACAAACTGAGACATAAGAGGTTTCAGCTGAATATGAGGAAAAACTTCTTGACTTTGAGGGTGACGGAGCCCTGACCCAGGCTGCCCAGGGGTGTGGAGTCTCCTCCTCTGGAGATATTTAACCCCCGCCTGGACGATGTCCTGTGCCCCCTGCTCTGGGTGAGCCTGCTTGAGCAGGGGGGTAGGACTGGGTGAGCTCCCGAGGTCCCTTCCCACCCTTGCCATTCTGGGATTCTGTGATGGACAGCCAGCCTGCCTGCCTGGCCTCCGGGTGCCGCTGCCTGGAGCTTGCCTGTGCCCAGAAGGCCTGGATCTCCATCCGCCTTTCTATTTGAAGTGACTTCCCAGCTCATTCATGGTTTGGGATTTCTGTGAGCCAGGCAGGCAGCCTCGGCGCCCGGGGCAGGGGGGACCTGGCTCAGCTTTCCAAGGCAGGTCTGGGAAATCTGCTGAATCCGCTCAGCCCCCCCCTGAGCCCAGCCTTGGGGACCAGCCGAGGTCTGAGCTGGGTGTAACCATTGCCAACACCTCCCGCTGGCTGCATTTCAATCCGGCGACTTGTCAGCATCTGTCTCCTCCCGTGACTGTCCCCTTGGGCTCCTGAGGGCAGGGCTGCCCCTCTGCCACCACCTGCCCTCTCTCCCCAGGGGCAGCCAGTGTGCCGAACAACTCTGGCTGTGGGCTCCATGCGGGAGCGACAGCCCTTCCATGACGCCTGGTAATTATCTGTTTGGATTTGTGCTGTATGGCTGTGTTAGACACCCTGGTGCATGCTCTGTCTGCTTCCCTAATTGCTGCCAAGCACCGAGCCACTGGTTTTAAGTTTATGCCTTCTTTCCCCTCTTCTTCCACTGCTTTCAAGTGAATTTAACACATATCCCAGCGCCAGAGGCCCAGCTCCTCTGTCGGGCAGCGTGAGCGGAGGCAGCAGAGGCTGCATCGGAGCGGGGAGCGGCGCCAGGCTGTCTGCACAAGGGCCAGCCTTGTCCCCAGAGACCGGGCTCTCGCGGTGCCGCTGCCACCGGGCCAGGCTGTCTCCAGGCACCTCCATGCCACTGCTGCTTGCACCATGGAGCTGCTTCAGCAGCTCCCACCAGCCCTGTCCCGCAGCCCTGCTGTGCCGGGGAGGGTGTCCCCAGGAGATGCCACACACCATACGTTGTCCCATAGGGTTTGCCGCCGGCGGTCCTGGGCTCTTCCACAGCACCTTTTGGGTGGCTGCTCCCCTCCCTGGCTGCTCCAGGAGGGCTGGATGAGGCCAGGGATGCTGTGAGGGTGAAAGCGATGGGCTGGGGGCAGCAGGGGGGATCTGGGCTGCACCCCGCTTGGCAGCCATCCCCCCGGGCTGCAGGGAGCATCCTCAGAGCCCAGGGACCTGGGCCATGAGCATCACTGGCCAGGATGCTCCTCCCTTGGTGCCCCTCTGTCAGGGCCTGGCCACCTCCGTCCCAAATCAAGCAGCTGAAATAATTTCCTTGCTTTTACCTTGGGTCTGGGGGAGCTGGTGATGGACAGGGTCCTCCAGTCCCATCAGCCGCCACCGGCTAGATGTGCCAGCCATCCCTTGGCTCTCGAGGACCGTGTCTGTCCCCTGGTCCCTGAGCTGGAAGCAGCTTCCCCAGGCTCCAGCTCCTCACCACGTCCCCAGGGGCTGCCGGGAGCCCAGTGCCCTCAGCCTCAGAGCTGGCTTTTTGGCAGGGTTTGGCCCAGCACCGTGTTTGCTGGGTGTGGGCAGGATGGGCGGCAAACAGGCAGGGCCCCACGCC